CTGTAGGCATTGAGGAGGGTTGCACCCTGGACGTCCCAGTATGGGAAGGAACACTGCAACAGTTCTGTCCCATGTCCAAGATCGGGTGCTGGCAGGTGATGTTTCAAGTTCTGCTCTTTGGTCCTTTCCTTTGCGTGGTATATATTTTTTCTCCTTTACTTCTGTGAAAGCCTGGCCAAGGGAAGAACATGTCTGCTCATTAATGACCTCCCGTTATAGCAGGTGGGAGTGCTTTCCTGAGTACTCTACGTAGGTGCTGCCTTTCAGTGAGGAGACCTTTCTTTTTGGCTATAGCATTAATTGTTTCCTTGATGCTTATGCTTTGCCCCCACGCAGTGGCCCATTCTCCTGCAGTCTGATTCCTTCTAGAAGTTCTGCATCAAGTAAAAAGAAACACATGCGATCCAGGCTTTCCCTAGCATGTCTTACTGTTCATGAAATCTTCCACTGAATGCTTTAGCATTCAGCTAATGGGGCAAGAATGTCTTCTGTTAGTGCTTTGGTGTTATTGAAGGTTCATAGGTATAAACAGAGCTTTCTTCAAGTGCATTGAAGAGGAGAGAGTTTGTTTTCAGCAAATGTATGTGTTCCTTCTTATTTGGATTTTAAAAAGTCACTACAAAGTGAGACGTAAAAAGTCCTGTCGAAAGTTAGCGGTAATCACTGCTGAAGGTTGCTGTAGTTTGAATATACACTAGCAGAACGCTGAGATGGGAGTCAAGAGGACAGGTAACTGTGCCTCGTATATGTGTCCTACACTTCATAAAATGGTAAAGGAAGAAAGAATACACTGCAAATAGTTTAAAAAAAAAGAAGTTTCCATTTCTTGGATTTAACATTTGTCTTCCTATCATCTGCCCTTTTTTAGTTTCTCTTAAGTCATTCATTATTTCCCAGAGGGAAAATCTCCATGGCACTGCCTGATTCCTTTAATTTGCTGAGTTTTTCTGTGATCGTAAGACAGTAGAAGTCAGGTGGAATAAGAGAGTAGCTTAGGTGGCAGAAGCTTGAGCAGCAAACCCAAAGGCCAAGCACCCCTCAGCTCTATTACAGGGAACACCCTCAAGTCAGCCCCCTGAAACTCTGCGCTTGCATTCCCTGTGGAGCAAACGCAGGGTGCGTTCCATCTTGTCTGTCCCATCAAGGTAATCTAAACAGGCTGCCATAGACACAAGCGTAGTTCAGAGGGCAGAGGGATGAGCAGCAGCCCAGGGGCCTGGCATTTTTCTTAATCCTGGAATGCTTGTAGTTCATTGAAGATCCTCTCAGCATTTCCACACTTGTGTCTTGATCCCACTTTCATAGCGATACAAAATAAGAATTGTTTAAAATAAATTATATTTGTTAATGATGCAAAATTATTGAGCATAGCTATGTTGAATATGCCTGCAGAAAGTTGCAGAAAGATGTCACAACGCTTCCTGTTTCGTGAAAGGGCGGGTGAAGCTTGCTGTCAGCGAGCCTGGTTGTACCCGTAGCCTAACTGCATATGTGCAGAAGGGGTTGTAAATTAGCTGTTGCCCCCAAGGAAATAGTTTTGGGTGTCACAGGTCTGATGTTTTTGTAGAACTGTACAATGTCTTATGGCAGTCAACAAGGCATCTAGAGTTTTAGGAAGCAATTTAGAAAGGAATTATGGGGAAAAAAAGAGAAAATAATGAGAACATTATATTGCTTTCAACGTATCACATTGAAGGCAAGCAGATGTGTGTACTTCTACAGCGTGTGATTAAACGGTAGAAATCATTGTCACAAGATGTTGAGCAGGCCAAAAGTGTGATGGGTTTGAAGTACTGTAGATATGCAGCTGTAATAGTCCAGAGTTTGCAACTGAACTCTAGCTACACACTAGATCTGACTAAAGGAAAACAGCTTACTCCTTTTGTGACTTCCGAATTGTGCTTAGATTCTCAGCCTACCTTCCAGACTCTTCTTCCATGCATAGTGTCTTCCTCCCTAGAAATCCACAGAACTTGTGAAGTCGTCTGTGCACTGACTGGCACTTATAGCTATTATTAAAAGTAATTGACTGCAGGTAATGTTAAGAATAAATTTTCACTGTGGTTTTCAACAACAGAGATCTCAGTCTTATTTTTATAGGTGGCCAAATTCTTGTTTCACTTTTGCAGACTGAAACAAAACGCCTGTTTGCTGACCCAGAAGTTTCTGTGGCAGTCTGTATGATTTCCAAAGGATCCATTTCCTGTGGAGTCACTCACAATACCCTGTTATAAACAAGAATAAATGTAACGCTTAGAACAAGTCTGCAATATCAAGCCAGCGCTATGTGTAATTTTCCTGGGATTTCCCCTTGTTGTGTGATAACAACATAAGAAATGCAATCATTTCCAGAATGAGCAGCAATCCCTAGACAAAGGCAAGTAAAGCATGGATGATGGATGTGTCACCTGATACATAACCAGGATGTTTGTATTAGTCGAGCACAGACAAAGAAGTGGAGGCCAGCAAACCAATGTTTGTGTTCTCTATTCTTCTAACAAGAGTTAAAAGTGTTTTTCAGGGACTTTCCAGTATTTCTTTCAATGACTTCCTCTATGGCTTGCACTTATACATGAGAGAGAAATATACTTTTGGTATTATAAGAACATAACATTGAAACTCAAGGGAACAAATTACAGTTTGTGATTGAAAAGGCTTTTGATAAAAGAGCAGAACTACAGCAACCAGGCATAGAAAGGGGAGTTTGAGGATAAGGAAATGACACAAGATTGCCATTTGGTTGGTTGGTTGTTGGTACTGTCCTCTTGCCTCCAAAGTGAAATTGTTGGTGAAGGAAGGAAGTGAAAGTGGTTTGGACAGAAGATGAAGTAAGGGACCAAGAAAATAACTGAGGACAGAAAGGACATGTAGACACCTCAGCTACATTTAATTGCGAGGAGGGCAGCAGAGAAATGAATGTAGGGTGATGAATACACATGGCAGCTGTAACCTGGAATGACCTTCTGACAGGTTGTAGAAATACAGTTTAGATGCTAAATGAAGTGGCCAAGGGGAGCAGAAGGTGACTGGCAGAAGGAGAAGATGGACAAGAACATGTAGTTAGCTGCAGTGACATCTCAGGGTCCTTCCTTTCATTGTGGTGCAACTGTGCTGACCCTTACTCACCGCCTGGTCAGCTTTCTGGTGTGTTACACAGACATGCACGCACACGCCCAAAGACACTTGTGTGTTTTCAAAGGGTGCCGTTTTCTCCTATGGCTTCTGCATGGCCTGATAACTGGAGGGCCACAGGGCACATTGTTTAGAGTTCAAGTGGCTGAACGTCTCAAACTGATGTCGAATTAATATGGGTTGAGGAGAGGACTGACACCAGTCTTACTGCGAAGGGTCTTCAAGAAGAAGCAAGCCTAAGACAGCTGTCATATTTTATGGTTACAAAGTTATGTGGCAAAAATCATTCTACTTTTTTAAGACTATCTAGATCGTAGGTAAAAGTGAAATAAAAGCGTGCCTGCCTCAATAAACAGGTGTACGCTAGTTTGAAGCAACAGGCTTTAAACCTGTGCCCTCTCTCTTATTCTTAGTTCCCTTCTTGAAGATGCCCAACATGTTGCTGGCTTTCATTTGGCCGCTGTGGCACTTTAAGCTGAGGATTTCAGCGAATTCTTAAGCATGAGTGGTTTATACTACTGTCCTACGAACTGCACCAGGACTCCTATGGGAAGACATCTTACACCCATGAGAGCTGTGCTGTCCCACGGTATCCATGGGACAGGAGATGGGGCAGTAACTATATGAAGCATCCCAGTTTATCTGCCAGAATCCTTCCTCAGTGTTCCTCTTCATTATGAGTGCTTCTCTCCCAAAGGGGCCAAGCATCAGTGCCTGTGCATGACGGGGGTGAATGGCCGGGCCGTTGAAAAGAGGCAGGCGTCACCTTCAGTTCAGGGATCGGAATAAGAAGCAGTTGTTGCACAAGGGCAAATGTTTGATGTTTGAGTACCCAAAGGAAAGGTCACAAATTCCCATTTTGATAGTCAAATAGTGGCCTTGGATGTAGTAAAGATTTACACCTCTGGGGCTGCTCTGGACACTGGCAGTGTTTAGGCATGTCAGGGTAAAATTCACTTGTCTGGAAGGTACTTAAAGAAGGAGCCCACCAGTCTCTAAGGATTGAGAATAGCCTGAGGAGAGAAGAGTGAGCATTTTACCCTACCCTAAGAGTTTGTTATTGTGTTCAGTAATGTTGGGTTAACATAACGGGGTGGGTTATGGTACCGTGTGCTTAAAATGTTCATTTCAGTTCTAGAAATCAGGTTGAGGTTGCAAAAATGAAGCAGACTTGTTTCCAAATAAAGCAAAGGAAAATGTAAAATAACAAACAGATAACAAACAGATCTTTTTGTAGAAAACATTTAATAATATATTGTTAAGAATATCTAACACTCTCACAAGCAAATTCTGTGTATGTAAGATGCAGTTTTTTCCATTAGCTGATTGAGTAGCTAATTTGACATACAACTAAGTCCTTGTACAGAGTAATGAGACTGTGAATATTTCTTAAGGAATGAATAGTAGGAACGGAAAATCCAGTACAAATGAAATAAATTATTATCATTTTATCTCTTGTATAGAAACTCCTCAATAAATACATTTATAAATACCATGGAAGTCACAATAAATAAACAGCAAACCCACTGTCTTAGAGATTCTGTAGGCTAGATTTTTAAAGTCAGAAATCACAGTTCACAGTGCAGCCACAGGCTGACTGTGGTTCAGAAACTGTTGTTGACACAACATACTAGCGCGCTCCAGGGGAGCAGGAGGAATTATCAGTTTGCTGGTATCATAGCAAAATAGTAAGGCTTAGTGTAAGTAAGCTGTGCTGTAAGTGCCTTGCACTTAACTAATTGTGTTGGCTGAAGTGGCTGCCAAGAGTTCTTCATTTCTTTTAGCAAACCACTTCTGCTGTTCAGCATCTTCAGTGTCAATGAACAGCATGTCCCACACACAACACTGACCATTTTGAGAGACTTTCTTAAATAGATGCAGTTAAATAAATAAATAAATAAATAAACTAATCCATAACTAACACGATAACACTGATGCAGGAGGTGGAAGTTGGTACACTGGCTGAACAATGCATTTCCCGAACATTTCTCTCAATGGAGGAGCTGGAGCAGTTCCCAGATTTTTTCTGTCCTGGTGTTTCTTACACTGGTGAGTCAGAATTGAGTTGAGCCCTGTTAAGAGGTAAGGGAAGAGGGTAATTTAGAAGGAGGTTCAAGAATGGTTATCATCGCTTAGCATTGCATGAACAGTTAAGGATGACCAGTCTGTTTCCAACTCTATGGGCTATCTTGAGGCACAGAGAGAATAAAGTTGATGTTTTGAAAGCAATTACTGAAATCCCACTGCGTGTGTATCTAGTGCCCGGCTAGGAAACTTCTGCAGCATGAGTTTCTGCATTTACTCGCATCAAGAAACTCATTAACTTGGAAATGTGAATTACTGACATAAGCTACTGTAAGTAAGGGGAAGATGAATTTTTAAAGCCTCATTTTTCAAAGGGAGCCAAACATTTCTGTGTTCCTTTCCCTCCAGACAGAGTTGCTGGTACTCAAAGGTTTAGTAGTGACTTATCAGCTTGAACAAAGACCCTGCAGCAGAGTCAGAAAGACTAAGACTAATTCTGTAACTAAACAGCAAGTTTCCTTGTTCTTTAAATCTGATTCATAGAACATGGAAAGTATCAGTAAGAAATCCTACAAATTGGCCTTTACCTCTTAACTGCCCAAATTGAAAAGGAATGGAACTTACTTGGCCAAAATTGCCTTTATGATCAGCTGTACCCAGGGAGCAGTGGGCTCCAAGCACACCTCTCTGCCGTCCTTCAGAGTAGCTCTGCAAAACAGTGAATAAAGAAAAGTCAGGAAACTACTACATGGATTTGTTTTACTCACAGAATGTAGTATTGCATTTTAGATTAGTTGGTGTAAATTCAACACAACTGCACTAGGTTAGACTTGGCCATTTTGTTATATGTATTCCAAAACTGCCTCTCAAAACAGTCACACATTCCCCAAAACTTTTCTCAATATACACGGGTACTTGGTTTGAATTTGTTTACAGTAGCAAAGCTTTCTTACACAACGATTGAAACCTCCAGTGGTGAAAAGGAGTTTCAGCAGTATAAGGATTTCAACAAGTTAGTCCCTCCTCCATGCTATTCAAGACCAGTTAGTTTCATTTTTTCCCTAAATCTGCTTGTGGGACCTTAATTTTTCTCTCTGAGACTGACATGGACTGTTTTAATGGGAGTTTTGCTCGCCTAATAAATGAAGGATTTAAACTACATTATTACCTCATGTATTAAGAACTGACCAGTCCTTGAAATTCATGTTCTACCACCAAAAATATTTAGTATGTCCCATGACAGACAAATAATGATCAGTTCAGGAATATGTGTGGTCATAGAGATGATAAAAACAGAGTATTAATTAAAACTGTCTCTCAAAAGAATACCCAAAACCGACTAGATCCCATCAGCCTGCTGACTGTGGGGAAGCCTAAAAGCCCTGGCAGCGGCAGCAGAGTGCAGGTGAGGAAGGGGGAGGCTCTTGCAGAGCGACTTACATGACTTCGACATTCTGGCAGTGGGGGCCGCTCTGTGTCAGCTTCACATCTTGAATGGCTTTAGGAGGGATGAACTTCGAATGAGTGGCTATGCACTGGCACCGGAGCTCGGTTCCCATCCTTGCCAGGGTCCTGCCTGCAAGCAGAAAAGGAGTGTTGTAGTTTGAGAGGGTGTCTTACCGTCACTGGACCAGGCATAAAGCACTACTGCTCTATTTTAACAACACTCTCAATTAAAATACTGCATTTCTCCAAGCTGCCTAAATCCTCACACTATAAAGATCAGTCGCTTGTTTGTTTCAGAGGAGCTGAGGCCCAAGTACATTTAAAACTAAAATAACACATCTTTTTAAAATGAAACCACGCATTTTGTGGTTACTTGTACTGACCACGCTGTACAGTTATTTGCATTGTTTTAATATCCGGATCAACAAACTGGCAACTACACAGAAGATAGAGCCCTAGATTTTTTCATTAATTGGAGGCTTGTCCGTGCTTCTATGTTCATATTGTTTGTTCTCCGTTCACAGCTGTATATTATTTGCGTGAGGCAGTGTGATCATTAAGTAACAAATATGAGATCATAAGCTGTTCTTTGTGTGGGAAGGGAGAGAAGCATTCAAACACTTAAGAAGACCCTGTCTCTAGCTGCATGCCCTTCAAGCGAAACATAGAAACAAAGCACATTTAAGTTGCATCCTTAAAATTGTTCCCACAAGATGTCAGTCACTCTTCAGTTCAAGGGCTACTTGATTTCTGACTGAAGAGAAGTTGCTGAAAATCTCTCGAAAGAAACTAACTTGCTGAAATAAATACAAAGCTCCCTCTCTGCAAGGACAAGCACCTCGGCAGATGCCTAGAGAATACTACAGCCATGGGGAGCTGGGGAGGAATTTCCTTACCTTGGGACATAGCCGCTGAGATCAGGAGGAGAGCCAGGACAGCCGCAAGTTTGCTGTTCATGATTACACAGGAGTTTTTCGCCGGATTGTTTAGCTCTGTGGAACAGTGACCTCTCTTGTCCCGGAGAATGCTGATGCCTGATCCGGACGATCCATCTTGCTTATATACCGTTTTGTGCCCAGCCTGTGTGCTCGGCTGGCAAGTAGATTGCGTTAGAGGAATTTCCCAGATGTAGTAAAAATGAGTCACATGACTGTTGTGAAACTCCTTCCTCTATGACGAGGAATTATTCTGCTAAAAATGATATAATGTATTAATTTATTAAAATATGTAAGTAATAGCTATGCATTCCAATTTCTTTTGTAGACTTTGTAAATGTCATACTTTTTCTAATGCATACCCTTATTTAGTAATAGAACTTTATGATGGTTTGAGTTACATTTGTGTTATAACTATTTATTATTTTCTTCAGGGTAGTAACTGTTCTTCATAGGGATGCCAGATCTATACTTGAGATATTTAATTTCTTATCTCCACTTATGGTGATAGCTTCTGCTTACCTGATTCTAAGTCACTGGAGTGGAAATCAGGCAGTCCTGAAATCATTGAAAAGCTTTTTCACTGGGGTCAGGATTTTGCCTCAGCTTTATTGATGTTAATGATTTTAATTTTTTTGTTCTTTTCTTTTTTTCTGTTCAAGTGACGTCTTACGAAGTAAATTAATCTCTAATACTATCGGTTCAGTAAAGGAATTGAGACTTCAGTATTCAAAGCTTCCTGTGGGAAGCAGATATTAAATTCTGAACGGCTTTGAAAATCATGCCTGCATTTTTCATGTCACACATGTTAATGAATGACGAACAGAGGAAGCCTTGTACACAAACAAAATAGCATGACCTGTTGAATGCAACTGCTTTTGTTCCCTTTGTAAGTCTAGATATTTTTAATAAGTCTTCTCTGTAATCTTTTTCAGTGACCATAACCTTAGGTGTTAGCAAAGGGAGATAACGTCAAGTATTATGGCACTGCTATAGAGACTTCTGTTAAAGAACCTTTCTGCACGAGTGCTGAGTGTTTATTTGCTGGGGCTGGTAGAGATACAACCTTGCGAGGGAGACAATTTCAAGGGAAGACTTGGGCTCAAATGCTTATGCATTGCTTAAATGAAGATTTGGGGTTTTAACCCATCTGGAGTGCATGGGTTTTGGAGAAGCCATTCTGTTTCAGTGCCATAAAAACATTGTCCTTTGGACCATGATAATTTTTGCTGCTCGTCATCTCCAACTTCAAGGCTTCATATTTCTGTAATCTGTGGATTTATAGAGGTACTTTTCCCCAATTCTGAGGTGTTTTTGTAAAAACTCTACTATCTTTAACATGTAAAACATTGTAACTTATTTATAGGAATAATGTAGTAGTTTGCCCATAATTTATTATGGTTTACTGTGTACCATTTGTCATTAATTTACTTGATAAAAGGAACTCTGTGATGAAAATTCATCTGTTTCCCATCACTGTGTCAGCTGGCCTAAGAAAAGATATCACCAAGTTTTGTCTCTTCTACCTCTTACTGAGGTGTATTCTGACTCCTCATGGTGCTTCTCCTTAGCTGTGTGTCTTAGAAAGTTTTGCTGAAACATACACTTAGTTCTCTGAAGGTGTGAAAAAGGAGAGGATTTTACCAGGCACTGAAGGTTATGTTTTATTGTTTATGTTGTATTGCGTTGTATATGTTATGTTAAATTAACAGAGTGGTTTCACTGGCATCAGATTGTAGATGTTGGAGCTTTAACCAGTTTATTTGGAATCAAGTTTTGCTGATTCTTTTCTTTTGGGTTCTCTCTCTTTCTCTCTGTGTCTCTACTTATGTATGCACACACACAGGGTAATTAAAATGTGATTAGGGATCCCACTTTTCTTAGTTACTCTTTGCAGCTTTATTATCTAATTATGGTGTGCGCTGAAATGTCATTAATATCTGAGGCAAAAAAAGGAAATTCCCCCTCAAATCCCCAAGTAAAACCAATGACTGTTTGCCCTCCTTACCAGCAAACTCAGCTATTTCCTGAGTGTGGCAGTAACAGATCTGCAGAAATCCCCAGGTCAAAAGTGAAGCTGAGAGCCTACTCCACCTATATGATTGACCCTGTCCCTGAGCTGAGAGTAAGTATCTGTCTGAAAGAGCAGGATGTTTGTAATGACATAAAAATTCACTATGTTTTCTGAGAGCTAAAGCATCTGCTCTACCTCCGCTTTTTCTCTGATGTGACACAGATTCATTGGGGCTACGTGAAGGGGGTGTAATAGATACGATAGTGGCACGAAAAGGTTCAGACATGTGATCAAGCCCAACGGCCAGGCACTCCTAACCTGTGTTCCTGGGAGTGCCGTGCTTCGCCCAAGTTCACCTTCCATCCCTTCAACACTTTGCCCAGGATCTCATCCCAGCCCCTGCCTGTGGGAACTCCAAATCCAGTATCTGATTTTGGCAGCGTGTGTTTTCCCGCCAGCTGTCAGAGATTACTTGTGCGAATGGAATTGCTGCTCCTTTTGAAGGATAACGTCACTGAGCGAGCTGATACCGCTGCAAGCAGAGACCTTCCATGCTTAACCCTGTTAAAAGCACGCTTGTAATGAACAAAACAACAGTTATGCAATAGCCCGATTACTGAAAGACTGCTGAAAAGGGAAGTAAATACCTCCCTTGCCTGTTAAGGCAGGGTATAGGATGTGTTCTCCGTGCCGCAGGATGCAAACCAGTGGTTTTTCTTTTTCTGACTCACTGCCTTGCCTAATGAACAAAGAAGTCAAAAGGGAATCTTTTGGGATTTTGACTGGGATCATTTAAAGTCTTTGTGTGTAGCAAAGGACACCCAAACATGAGGGACCCATTGAGGGGGATTCATGTTTAGTCGGGTGGCCAAGACCATCATGAGGGATGGGGGAGAGCTGGGCTCCAGTCCCTTACTGTTTTGAGTTGCCCAGTTCCAGAGGAATGCTCCAGCCTCTGGGCTGATAAACTTACTCTCTCTAAGAAAATTAAAAATCCATCTTCTTTTAGACCAATTCAGACCTCTCACTTGAGAAGTTGTGCCCACAAGACCCCAAAGGCCCAGGAGACAAAGCTTTGGCTGGAATGGGGGTTCAGCCTATGCAAGGTGAACTCTGTCAACTCCAGTCTCCTGTGCGTCCTCTCTGCCAGCTTACTCTTGTTCCCCAGGGAAAAAATCCTACTCTGTCTTCCAAAGCCACTTCCTTTTCCCCACAAAGGGCTTGGCATTCCCCTGCCATTCCACTTGGCTCACGGAGAGCAGAAGAGGCAAATACAGGAGCTGGGAAAGAATCGCTTGTGCCACTCGGAAACTGGGCGCGGTGTTGTGCAGACTTTTGTGGAAGTTTACAGTGAGGCAGAGTGCAGGGAGCAGATATGTACAAAGCAGAATGTCTCATACACATCTGGTTTTTGACTTGCTGTATGAGGAAGTGATAGCAAAGAAAAGAGAAAAGCTGATGCAGTTTGTGATTTTTTTCCAAAGTTAAATGTCTAAATATAGATGGTTGTGTACCCTTAGTCAGATCACGGCAGGTGCTGGACTTTCCCAAATCCCTCTGGAATCACAAAACAGCAGTCCAGCTTTTTAGTTGATTTACCTTTTAATTTATGTATTTATAAATACAATAGTATAAGTATATATTTATGTGACTGCATATTTATTTATGATGTATGTTTCAGCTGTGCTTGAAAACAGTCAATACTGTATTGTAGCTCTCGTTTAAAAAATTGTGGGTTAAATGAAATGTTTCATTTGGTCTGACTCAATATGAAAAGTCATTGACAATATTAATGTAAGGTATCTGGTAATATTAGAAAATGATACATTAATATTCATAATAATAGTAACAAAATATTCGCAAATATTAATAAATATTAATATTAAAAATAAATCTGATCTACCTGGTATTAACAGAGGACATGCTAAGTCCAACTAGAGAAGTGTTAGGGACCAGCAGCTGGGGTTTTACCTGCTCTGTGAAGGCTGCATTTGTCGCTGTAGTTGCATTTCCCTTTCATGAGTTTGGCAGGAAGCATTTTCTGAGTGTGGAAGTGAGATATGGAAGTGGCAGGAGGAAACACAAGGTCAGTTTTGAGAAGTTCATGCTGGAAACTTTTGATTAAATTAGAAGTGGTTAGTAGACATAACATACGTTATGCATTAATCTCCAACTCTTAAAATGTCACTTGCTGTCATCTTAGTGTCTGCTTGAGCTGCAGGCAGCGCAGCTCAGCGTGGGAGCCTGAACGCTCTTGGGCAGTGCAGGCATGGTGGAGTATGCATAGAGATGGAGTTTCTCTGCAGCACTCGGGTGAACATAGGTAGATAGCCTGCCTATGAGAGAGGTGCAGATATGTAGACATCTGCATCTTGAATAAAAATATACCATTTAGTATTAGAAATGAGATCTGGTTTGCATAAAAGCTGTTATGTACAAACTTGCTGATCCATTGGATCTCAAGCCACCAGACAGGTCAAATCTTACTGTTCACCAAAACTTGGGGGGGTGGCAGTGGGAAGGAACAATCAATGTATTTAGTCAGCTTATGAATTCAGATTTGGATCCAGAGTTGTGCTGATTAGGTAGTGGTTCCAGTGGGGGCCAGTCCCTGTCAAGAACGAGACTGTCCCAAGAGTTTCCTACATGTCTGTCTGCAGTCTGATGTTCTGCCTAGCCTGTGGCTATCCCCCAAACCCTAGTCTTCCACCCTGGGGCTCAGAAAATCAAACTCCACAGGGCAGTCATGATATTTTTTGACTGCAGTCCTCTGTTTCTCTGGCCACATATCTCTGGTCTGGGTATTGCTGCTAGAATCTGCACGCTAATGCTTTCTGTCCTCAGAAACTAGATTTGTATTGCCAAGCATGAACAACTTGTAGCAAAGCATTAAGATAAAATATCTTTAACTGTAGAAATAAATTAACATAGATGCAATGGGAATTAACACATTAACCCAATGTTTAGTCTTATAAGCAGACTCCTGAACCCTTGAGCAGTAACATTCAACATAATATGTAAGCTGCAAAATCCTTTTGCAAAGCAAAAAATGCGGTCTA